GTATCGAATCTAGTGCCCACTATTGTTGCTGACTTAATCAGTTAATAAATAAAACCGGTTGGTCGAAATTATTGTATAAATATACGTCAAAGAAGATTCTACATAAAGTATATATAAGTATTACTTGCTGATTTAAATGATTTTTTTTCTAAAACTAAACAATATGAAACATGTATCATTTTATGAGAGACTTTTAGTGACTTGCGTTGTTTAAATTATATCAACTATTTCATGTACATGTATTTGTCACACGTAATTTTCATGGAATCTATTTTTGCTTGTAAATTGTTATAACGGTATATTCACTTTTGTCAGCTTTCCATGTTCTTGCATCTCGTAAAACGGCGTTGTTGTTTTTTTTTTTTTAAAACCGTGATTCGTAACTTAAAAGAAAAACTAGAAATATGTCAATAGGACATGAATGCCCTGCCGAGGCAACATGAAAATTCGTATGTGTATAAAATTTGATCAGTTTGGTTCAGGTAGGGGTTATAGTTAGTAAGGAATAAAAATGTAGGTCAGATCAAGCATCCGAAGCAAGTCTGGTAGTGTCCATCCCTAGATGCATCATCCATGCAAGTTTGGTTCAGACAGGGCTTATAGTTACTTGGGAATGAAAATATAGGTCAGATCCAGCATCCGAAGCAAGTCTGGTAGTGTCCATCTCTAGATGCATCATCCATGCAAGTTTGGTTCAGGTAGGTTTTATAATTACTTGGGAATAGGTCAGATCCAGCATCCGAAGCAAGTCTGTTAGTGTCCATCCCTAGATGCATCATCCATGCAAGTTTGGTTCAGGTAGGACTTATAGTTACTTGGGAAGAAAAATAAAGGTCAGATCCAGCATCCGAAGCAAGTCTGGTAGTGTCCATCTCTAGATGCATCATCCATGCAAGTTTGGTTCAGGTAGGGCTTAAAGTTACTTGGGAATAAAAATGTAGGTCAGATCCAGCATCCGAAGCAAGTCTGTTAGTGTCCATCTCTATATGCATCATCCATGCAAGTTTGGTTTGGGTAGGGCTTATAGTTCCTTAGGAATGGACCTGCTCCAAAAACTTTAACCTGGTCACTCATCAGGAAAATGTAGGTCAGATCCAGCATCCGAAGCAAGTCTGGTAGTGTTCATCCCTAGATGCATCGTCCATGAAAGTTTGGATTGGGTAGGGCTTATAGTTCCTTGGAAATGGACCTGCTCCAAAAACTTTAACCTGGTCACTTATCTGGAAAATGTAGAAGCAAGTCTGGTAGTGTTCATCTCTAGATGCATCATCCGTGCAAGTTTGTATCAACATGTGAAGTTTGATAACACCAACTTGAATGGTATGTTCAAATCTGATCTAAACACCAATTTAAGAAAAGTGAGGTCAAGGTCAAAGGAAAGGTCAGGGTCAAAAAATGTTGATGCAGTTGCATAGCTCTCATCAATATCTATCAGCATACGAAGTTTGATAAAATATCTTGGATAGTTTCTTTGAAACTTAGCTAGCTTTGAACAGAGCTAAAAGCAAAGTGTGACAGAAGACGGAAGGACGGAAGACGGACATGACAAACACTATATGCCCCGGCCATATTCATGGCGAGGCATAACAACACTTTGTTAGTTTGGATGTTAAAATTTCATTCAACAGTCAATTATTGTTTAACTTAATATTCCATCTTGTTATATATATACTAAATATTGATTACATACTCAATCTGGATTGATAACATAACGGAAAAATTTATTTAGACTAAATTCTTTAATTCACACTTTCGTTTTCTTTGACTTGCACTTCCGCGTTAAACTAGGTCATTGTTTCAAATTGTAAATACTGTGGGACAAAATCATGCAGATATTACAAAAACACAATTAACACAGGGGTAGAATATTCATCCTTTTATTGTATTTACCTCATAAGATTTTTAAAACCCGTCACTGCGTTTTTCTAGAATATTTAAATTAAAAAAATATTCGATACTAGCTGGCAAATATTGATCGTTACCGGTAAAACGACTGTATCAAAAAAAAAAAAAAAAAAAAAACCTCTAATTTCCTCTTTCTGTTGTTCAATATTCAAACAATGACCAGTTCAGGCATGTGGCATCGTTTTTGAAAGTGGGAAGGGCCAACCTGTGAAAATTTGTTTTACTTACCTAGCTGGAAAAGTTGACAAGCAAAATAAAAAAAAAAAAACGAAAATCAAAAGTTGCCCAAACACTATACTATGGTTATAAAGTGGGGGGGTCAACCATCCTATCAATGAACATTTACTACAGTAAAGGTTATGTTGGGGAAAAAAGTGGGGGGAGCCCCCCCCCCTTGCCCCCCCCCCCCCCCCCCGGTTGCTACGTCCCTGCAGTTTACATATTAATCTGTGAAAGAATTGCTCTTTTGTATAAAACGGGTTCTTAATATCCTACCATATTTCAGTATACACGTTTAATAATATTTTGAAGTGCAGGTATAACTATAAAGTATAAAACATTATGTCAATCAAATAAATTTAACTGTATAGAACATACATACGTTGAATGTCACCGGCAGGGAGAATCTTCAACTGCAGGAAATCACCAAGGCCAGTCCCTACTTTCGGTTTGTAAAATAAATAGATAACCCCATTACTTGTAGTTTATTTTTAATATATTCGATCAGTGCTTACTATCAGTTCAAGATATATTACTGTAGTCAGCGGCGACTCACACAAGTATATCTTATTATGTAAAGGACAAGGTACGGTTTCAATACACATTATGGTCCTTTATTTTTCTAAAATATGGAAGTGATCTGAGAAATTAAAATTCAACCTTTCGATTTTATTGAACTTCTATGCACATGATGCAGTAAAAACATGCAAATCGTTTTTCCAATATAACCTTCTATATACTTATTGTGACGCCCTGAACTTGAGCATTTCCCGTATTTTCCTAAAAGGTTACAAAAGACATCAATATTCATTGAATTTTGAGAATTTTCTGCATAAAACTTTGAAATGTACCAAATTAATGACGTCATATTTCCGGAATAGTTAATCTTCATACCATATTCTTTAATGATTTATCTTATTCAGCTACTCAACTTATATTTAAGCCAATTCCATAACTTAAATTAAGGAACATTGAAGTTTTAAGCCACAATAAAGTTCAAAACGTACCTTCGTCTTTTCAACATGAAGCTAAAAATATCAACAAATATTATATTTCAATCATTTTCAATTCATCAGAATAGACAGGAGTTAAAGTTTTTTTTTTAATTCAATGTTAAACACGTTCAGAAGGGAAGAAACATAAAGGAGATTGCATACATGTCATGCACGAATCAATAGGGGGCGGGGGGTCAGGACACGTACCCCACCCACCCCCCACCCCCCTGGAATTTACAAGGTAAAAAAATGTATACTAGAATACTAAAGCTAGAAAAAAAATTACCACCCCCCCCCCTTGCAAAACGCTGACACCCCCCCCCCCTTTGGTAAACGCGAATATGTTGGAAATAGGTATGAAAAGTGAAAGGTGAAAGTTTTAAAGCAATAGAAGTCATAGATCCTGAGATAAAAATATCTATGGGTATCTATGACTTCTGTTGACTTAAAACTTACATAGATATGTTTAACTTTCGAAATTTTATTTATTATATTTTCCCATTTGTATTCAATAATTGTTCCTTTGTATCATATATATCATGATGTTAAGTTTTGTTTTCGATGAGATGACCTGTGGCTGTTTCCCCTTTTAGGACTACCTTTTTTGTTTACGAACATAACAATATATATATGTCCTGTTTACACGGGAAGGTTACTGGTAATTTACAGTAAATTAATGGGAAGTAAACTATAATGCAAATTCACATAATGCAAATTAAATCGCATTCACACCACAGCTAAAGAGAAATGAACTAATGCAAATTAATATTTTATTTCTACAAAAGGCTATTCAGTAAGGCTATTTTGACGTCATTTTAAATCACGTCACGTATTCAGAACCTTTTTATATTTAAAAATCACAGTGGCTACAGTTATACATTAGGGCTACCTTTTTTGTTTGCGTGAACACAGCAGTATGATGCCCTGTTCACACGGAGAGTGTACTAGTAATTAACTGTTACAGTAAATTAATGGGAAGTAAACTATAATGCAAATATTGAAATCAAATTTCGTTCATACGACACCTAGAGCGAAGTAATCTAATGTGAATAAAAATGCTTAATTTGGAGAAGAGCTGATCATGGAACTCAGGAGTATCTTTTAAAAGGAATATCACAAAAAATTCCATTTCTAGTAACCATGGCAACACCATTCATCGAAATCAAAAAACCCACGCACTAAATTATGCATCTTAGTGTAGTCTACTTGTGTGCCAAGTTATATTGAAATCAGACCAAATCTGTAGGAGGAGTAGCGTTTTCAAGGAATTTCACAGAAATTTCTATTTTTAGTAACCATGGTAACATCGTTCATCGAAATCAAAAACCCATGCACTAAATTATGTATTTTAGTATAGTCTCCTTGTGTGCCAAGTTATATTGAAAGCAGACCAAAACTGTAGGAGAGGTAGAGTAGCATTTTGAAAAATTGTTAGAAGATAGACGGACAGACAGATGGACAGCTAGACGGACGCACACCTTACTATCGCATAAGCTCTTCTGGTCTCTGACCAGTAGAGCTAAAAATTGAACTCATCTCCAAAGATTGTAATTAACAACCCCCCCCCCCTCCCCTAAAAAAAACCCTTCGCTCCTTCAATAATTTCCAAGTGATTGAATTTCAAACAAGACAATTTGATGAGATATTTATTAATCAAAATTTGTATTTTAAGATGTATAGAATGATTAACAGAAAGTCAATATAGCAATCAACATTCAATGCTTTGAATCAAAACATTAAGAAAATATAGTAATTATTCAACCTTGAATCTTTTAAATGTGAAATTCACAGCAATAATAAATGGTTCATATATTAAACTGTTTAAAACAAATACATAGATGAACTGTACTTTAGAAAACAAAGAACAAAAGGCACACCCAAATCAGTCAGATAATAAAATAAAATAAAAATAAATAATTTCTGAGAAAATACAGATTTAAGGCTTTCATCTAACAACTTGCACTTATTAGAAAAGACATCTTTTAAGTCAACAAAAATACATATTTATATACAAAAGTATATCATGAATCTAATAGAAATAAAATCAAAAATGCACTCCAATACATGTAAAATTATCACAGTTCTTATAACAAATAAATAAAATCTTGAAGGACGGAATATTTGTGGAATCTCTATGTACAATTTTTTTTCAACTTTCACATTCATTGTGCAATATAAGCTAAGCACTGTTACAAACAAAAGTTCCATTTAAATGCTTTAGAGTTGTCTGCCCTTTAGTCATTCAGTTGACACAAGAGGGCAGCCCCTTTGGATATCCAGTAGTCTTGAGGCTGCTTAGAAGGCAGGTGAACAAACACCACAAAGTTAGTGGAATGTCCTACAAAAGAGTAACAAAATTTTGTATTAAAATTCACCATATGATTGCTGTAAAGTGACTTCAAATGTCTGTACACAGAGTTTGACTATATAGTTGTATAAACACAGCCCTGAGCTCTCGGGCCTAAGAATATTGACAAGTACTCTAACCTGTTAAACATTCATTTAAATGCATGATGCTTTACCTGTTGTGGACAGGACTCCAGCCTTGGCTGATGTCTTGTACAGTGGGGCGATGTAATCTGCCTCGTCAGGCACAAAGTCCATCTTAGGCTCCATGTGGAACATACACAGGGCCGAGTTCATTATGCCTTTAATGGAGTCTGTGACCACCATTTCCTTCTCATCCCAGCGGAACCCATCCATAAACATTCCATGGACCAGCACACCATCTTGAGGAGTGGGCAGCTGCAAGAAAATAAAGATATTTACAGGTTTTAAAGTAGTTTTATTTTAACTTCAAATCATTATTGGGTTGAATATTCTGAGCACTGTACAATAGAGCAAGCCCTTTCAAACATTTCTTTTGGAGGAATAAGTAATTTTTGCGAGTGCTCATGAACATTTGAGCTGTTGAACAGAGCTCTGTTTTTTTAAAAGGTACAGTAAATTTTATTGAAATATTTTTCAAGCATGACACTCCATCTCTTCAAAATTATGAGTTTCAATATGGTGTTATACAAAATGTTCCTTACTTCTTTGTCCAGTTCGATCTCCTCTCCGAATTTGAGTTCTGCCATCTGAGCGGTGACCTCCTTCTGCTCCCGGAAGTGAGGGAGGGGGTGGAAATGGAAGGTCAGGTGATCTATGGGAAGGTTGTACCTCCTGGCATAGTTCTGTAGGGTACCAGTCAAGAATCCTACAACAGAGGAAACAAAACATATATAGCCAACAGCATAAATATTGCTAAAAGCATACAATATCTATACTCCTTACTTAAAAATCCAATAGCCCTGAGTGCTAATCAATGGGAACTAAGAGGGTTTTGAGGTTAAGGAATCAAGAAAAACCTATTATCCTATATAATTATACAAAATATATTTCTCTATAGCCCTTTTTCAAAATAAAAATACTGTGAAAATCACTAATTTTTGTGGGGGATTAATTTTCATGGTTTTCAAGGTATGAATAGACCCTAGAATTTATGTCTACAACAAAATGCAATATTTCACATATATTACTACTGAACAATTCTTCAACCACAAAATCAAATCCCCATGAAGCAATATATTTTCCTCATACCATGAAAATTTGACCCCTCGAAATTATGTGATTTCACAATTTTAAGAACGGAATCCTTGAAAATGAGAAAGAAAGCATACCTTGTGGGAAGAAGAAGACAGACATCCAGAAAGACTTGGGCTGTCCGTGCCTGACCCAGTTATCAATGAAGGCACACCTGTAAATGAGGTCATTGACCCAGCTACCCAGGGGCTTCAGGGAGGGGTAGGCGGCATTGGCCCACAGGCTGGGGACCTGACTGTTGATGAAGGCTTGGTAGACAAGCTCTAACTCGTCACTCATCACAACAAAACCTTTAATGGCCTTCTTCAGCTGATCCAAAGAGTTCTACAAAAAAAGCAATCTGTTATAGTTTTTGACTATGCATGCTATATTGTATTCAAATTTAACAATGTTCTAAATCAATTTTAAAAATGTCACTGTCATTATCCACGATCATGAGTGGATTATGTATACATGTCTTTTTAATAAGAACAGTTTAGATAACATCCAAATTTAAGTGTCTACCAGTTTGACGCTTAAATAATCTATTGTAACTGCCCATAAATTAAATATTAATAAGCATTTATCTGCAACAAAAACTATTACATTTTGTAAATAGTAATATGCAACATTATGAAAGCTTTTAAGAATCAAATCAAAAGAAATCCTTGACCTTGAAAATGTTTATATAAATGTATAAATATTTGTTGTAACAGAAGGAATCTTTCATTTAAAATATCCTTGACCTCTCCTTACCTTGATGACCTTCAAAAGCTTGTTAAATCTGTCCACTTCCTGGGTCAGCACGGTGGTCAGTGAATTCAGTCGACCTTTCTTGTCCGGCTCAAACATTTCCTGATTGGCCTGCTCAATGTCCAGTTTGTCCATCAGTTTACCCAGAATGCTCTCTGCTAACTCGTACACGATCTCATCATTAGACTTTCCGGTTCCACCACTAGACTGACGGGGCTGGACGTCCAGAATGGTCTGGATCAAGTGGTTAGTCTCCTCTGCCTGGAAAGCAATGTTGGCATTCTCGTGCATGCCAAAGATCTCTGGTTCATCATTAATAGGTAGTGTCTCTATATAGTCTCTGTACTCCTGTAGGGTAGGGTAGTCAGGGGCATAGTATATACCTGTAATAATTAACAACACATCAGCATTTATTTCATAATTATGTTCCCCAAACGGAGTTTGGGAACATATTGTTTTTACTCTGTTTCTTATTATTATTATTATTCTTTTTATGTTCCCCAAACGAAGTTGGGGAACATATTGTTTTTACTCTGTTTCTTATTATTATGTCGCCCCGAACGAAGTCGGGGACGACATATTGATATTGTACGCATGTTTTTTTTATCCAGGCTGTTTCTCGGAGATGGCTGGGACAATCTTCCTGAAACTTTCCTTCAAGGACGATCACTGGTTGTAGTTGTGCAGTGAGGTCGTTCAGTTCCAATATGTCTACCGTTGCCATGGAAACCTGTAAAAAGCGACAAATTTTGTCCGAGAGTGTTCTCTCTGGTCCCTTAAACGTTCGTCATGAAACTTTTCTTATTTTAATGATTAGTATCTGTAGTTCTGCATCTCGTATTTAAAATTTTCATATAATCGATTATTGCCATGGAAACCAGGTGAAAGTTAAAATTCTTTAATTTCGATTTTCTCAATAACTACTCAGGCAATCGTTTTGAAACTTTCAATGTTTATTCCTTGCAATGTGTCAAAGTGATTTCTACTTTCAAAATAATTGTAATGAGTCGCTCACGGTTGCCATAGAAACGAAACAGAAAAAAAGATTCAGATGTACACATGTGTTCTCCAAGGTCTAGGTCAAAGGGTCAAAGTTCGTCGTATCCAATAAAAGTTCTTTTCACAAGGATTACATATTTGAAATACGAAAGCCCTAGTACTTACCGTTCAAACGTTATGGCTATTTACTATGTTCAAGACGCCCCCCCCCTCTTTTTATGAAGCACACAGCCAAGTAGAATACACAGATATAACATATACAACTTACAAGTAACTTTTTAAAATCTTCATTCATAAAATTCAGTTCCCGTCATGTGATATTTTGCCATCATTCATTCTCCTTCTGTTTTGTCTCTTGAATTTATAAATATTTTATTTTATCTATATAAAAAAAAAATAACGATTGTCAGCTGCATTTATTATCATTTCGCGTTTTCTTGTATATCTATCACTTGTATATTATTCATTTCATTAGATAGTGCAAGTATAAATTAAAAAAATTGGTACGTCATTTCCATAGTTTTTATTCATTCATAAATTCTTTGATCCGCTCCTGATGGTTCGCAAAGCCTTGATCACCACTGTATACAAAACATTCATCTCGCCGAAAATGTTCATGATTCCGCTAAACTGAGAAAGTTCACACATGATTTATTATCTCATAACACACATCAGCTCTCTGCAATGCAGAAATGCTCGAATTGATGGGGAAAATTCAGGAGTTATTGATGAGAAAAATTCAGGAGTTATTATGTCGCCCCGAACGAAGTCGGGGACGACATATTGATATTGTACGCATGTTTTTTTTATCCAGGCTGTTTCTCGGAGATGGCTGGGACAATCTTCCTGAAACTTTCCTTCAAGGACGATCACTGGTTGTAGTTGTGCAGTGAGGTCGTTCAGTTCCAATATGTCTACCGTTGCCATGGAAACCTGTAAAAAGCGACAAATTTTGTCCGAGAGTGTTCTCTCTGGTCCCTTAAACGTTCGTCATGAAACTTTTCTTATTTTAATGATTAGTATCTGTAGTTCTGCATCTCGTATTTAAAATTTTCATATAATCGATTATTGCCATGGAAACCAGGTGAAAGTTAAAATTCTTTAATTTCGATTTTCTCAATAACTACTCAGGCAATCGTTTTGAAACTTTCAATGTTTATTCCTTGCAATGTGTCAAAGTGATTTCTACTTTCAAAATAATTGTAATGAGTCGCTCACGGTTGCCATAGAAACGAAACAGAAAAAAAGATTCAGATGTACACATGTGTTCTCCAAGGTCTAGGTCAAAGGGTCAAAGTTCGTCGTATCCAATAAAAGTTCTTTTCACAAGGATTACATATTTGAAATACGAAAGCCCTAGTACTTACCGTTCAAACGTTATGGCTATTTACTATGTTCAAGACGCCCCCCCCCCCTCTTTTTATGAAGCACACAGCCAAGTAGAATACACAGATATAACATATACAACTTACAAGTAACTTTTTAAAATCTTCATTCATAAAATTCAGTTCCCGTCATGTGATATTTTGCCATCATTCATTCTCCTTCTGTTTTGTCTCTTGAATTTATAAATATTTTATTTTATCTATATAAAAAAAAAATAACGATTGTCAGCTGCATTTATTATCATTTCGCGTTTTCTTGTATATCTATCACTTGTATATTATTCATTTCATTAGATAGTGCAAGTATAAATTAAAAAATTGGTACGTCATTTCCATAGTTTTTATTCATTCATAAATTCTTTGATCCGCTCCTGATGGTTCGCAAAGCCTTGATCACCACTGTATACAAAACATTCATCTCGCCGAAAATGTTCATGATTCCGCTAAACTGAGAAAGTTCACACATGATTTATTATCTCATAACACACATCAGCTCTCTGCAATGCAGAAATGCTCGAATTGAAGGGGAAAATTCAGGAGTTATTGATGAGAAAAATTCAGGAGTTATTATGTCGCCCCGAACGAAGTCGGGGACGACATATTGATATTGTACGCATGTTTTTTTTATCCAGGCTGTTTCTCGGAGATGGCTGGGACAATCTTCCTGAAACTTTCCTTCAAGGACGATCACTGGTTGTAGTTGTGCAGTGAGGTCGTTCAGTTCCAATATGTCTACCGTTGCCATGGAAACCTGTAAAAAGCGACAAATTTTGTCCGAGAGTGTTCTCTCTGGTCCCTTAAACGTTCGTCATGAAACTTTTCTTATTTTAATGATTAGTATCTGTAGTTCTGCAACTCGTATTTAAAATTTTCATATAATCGATTATTGCCATGGAAACCAGGTGAAAGTTAAAATTCTTTAATTTCGATTTTCTCAATAACTACTCAGGCAATCGTTTTGAAACTTTCAATGTTTATTCCTTGCAATGTGTCAAAGTGATTTCTACTTTCAAAATAATTGTAATGAGTCGCTCACGGTTGCCATAGAAACGAAACAGAAAAAAAGATTCAGATGTACACATGTGTTCTCCAAGGTCTAGGTCAAAGGGTCAAAGTTCGTCGTATCCAATAAAAGTTCTTTTCACAAGGATTACATATTTGAAATACGAAAGCCCTAGTACTTACCGTTCAAACGTTATGGCTATTTACTATGTTCAAGACGCCCCCCCCCCCCCTCTTTTTATGAAGCACACAGCCAAGTAGAATACACAGATATAACATATACAACTTACAAGTAACTTTTTAAAATCTTCATTCATAAAATTCAGTTCCCGTCATGTGATATTTTGCCATCATTCATTCTCCTTCTGTTTTGTCTCTTGAATTTATAAATATTTTATTTTATCTATATAAAAAAAATAACGATTGTCAGCTGCATTTATTATCATTTCGCGTTTTCTTGTATATCTATCACTTGTATATTATTCATTTCATTAGATAGTGCAAGTATAAATTAAAAAATTGGTACGTCATTTCCATAGTTTTTATTCATTCATAAATTCTTTGATCCGCTCCTGATGGTTCGCAAAGCCTTGATCACCACTGTATACAAAACATTCATCTCGCCGAAAATGTTCATGATTCCGCTAAACTGAGAAAGTTCACACATGATTTATTATCTCATAACACACATCAGCTCTCTGCAATGCAGAAATGCTCGAATTGAAGGGGAAAATTCAGGAGTTATTGATGAGAAAAATTCAGGAGTTATTATGTCGCCCCGAACGAAGTCGGGGACGACATATTGATATTGTACGCATGTTTTTTTTATCCAGGCTGTTTCTCGGAGATGGCTGGGACAATCTTCCTGAAACTTTCCTTCAAGGACGATCACTGGTTGTAGTTGTGCAGTGAGGTCGTTCAGTTCCAATATGTCTACCGTTGCCATGGAAACCTGTAAAAAGCGACAAATTTTGTCCGAGAGTGTTCTCTCTGGTCCCTTAAACGTTCGTCATGAAACTTTTCTTATTTTAATGATTAGTATCTGTAGTTCTGCAACTCGTATTTAAAATTTTCATATAATCGATTATTGCCATGGAAACCAGGTGAAAGTTAAAATTCTTTAATTTCGATTTTCTCAATAACTACTCAGGCAATCGTTTTGAAACTTTCAATGTTTATTCCTTGCAATGTGTCAAAGTGATTTCTACTTTCAAAATAATTGTAATGAGTCGCTCACGGTTGCCATAGAAACGAAACAGAAAAAAAGATTCAGATGTACACATGTGTTCTCCAAGGTCTAGGTCAAAGGGTCAAAGTTCGTCGTATCCAATAAAAGTTCTTTTCACAAGGATTACATATTTGAAATACGAAAGCCCTAGTACTTACCGTTCAAACGTTATGGCTATTTACTATGTTCAAGACGCCCCCCCCCCCTCTTTTTATGAAGCACACAGCCAAGTAGAATACACAGATATAACATATACAACTTACAAGTAACTTTTTAAAATCTTCATTCATAAAATTCAGTTCCCGTCATGTGATATTTTGCCATCATTCATTCTCCTTCTGTTTTGTCTCTTGAATTTATAAATATTTTATTTTATCTATATAAAAAAAAAATAACGATTGTCAGCTGCATTTATTATCATTTCGCGTTTTCTTGTATATCTATCACTTGTATATTATTCATTTCATTAGATAGTGCAAGTATAAATTAAAAAATTGGTACGTCATTTCCATAGTTTTTATTCATTCATAAATTCTTTGATCCGCTCCTGATGGTTCGCAAAGCCTTGATCACCACTGTATACAAAACATTCATCTCGCCGAAAATGTTCATGATTCCGCTAAACTGAGAAAGTTCACACATGATTTATTATCTCATAACACACATCAGCTCTCTGCAATGCAGAAATGCTCGAATTGAAGGGGAAAATTCAGGAGTTATTGATGAGAAAAATTCAGGAGTTATTATGTCGCCCCGAACGAAGTCGGGG